AGTGGTCGATGTTCTGTCTGCCTGTCCCAGTGAAACTGGACGCACACACACACACACCCACCCCCCCTCTCTCGGTTAACTAGCAAACCACATGCCTAGGCTCCATGGGGCTGGGCTCCATGCTGTGGAAGATGGGAGGGAGGAAGGGGGCGAGTTCTGTTTGAGCAGCAAGGGTAGGGGGGTAGGGCAGGGGGAAGCCAGACAGACCCTGCTGTGTCTGCTGGAGCTCCAGCCAGGGAGCAGAAGGGAGGGACCAACTCTTCTGTGGAGCAGAGTGCCCCGCCCCGCCCAGAGAGCATGCTGGGGGTGTCTGGTTTAGCTTAAATCAGCAAGGGGTCTGGGACATACATTGCATAAACCAGTTTGAGCCAAATCAGTTAAGTCTGATACTACATTCAACCAGGTTTATTTCAAACCACTGTCAGCCATTTTTAAGCTAGTTTATGTGCACTGAACATCTGTTCTGTTACAGGTTTAAACCAGTTTATGATCACTTAAACCGGTTTATGTGTATTATCTGTCCCTAGCTTAAAAGATCAAGTCTGTGGTATTTCAGCAAAGAACTAGATTGACCATTATTACACACCAACACACATACTCACAGTGTATATGTAAGCACATGACTAAAAATAACCACACACACACACACACACACACACACACAAAAAGAGAGACAGAGGAGACTGTGGAAAAAAGCTTTCCTGACTTCCATGTAGAAACTCTCATTACCAGTATAATAAAAATAATAGCTTTATGTTTCTACAGCATCTTTCATTTTGAAGGATCCCAAAGTACATTATAGTCCATACATATAATAAAGGGTGAATGTGTTCACTCATGAAATGCAATCATGTCTGGGGCAGAACATGACAGCAATTCTCCACTAGCAATGACACAACTGTCTATATGCAGGAAATCAAAGATTAGCCTCTCCAGCAAGGAGGCAAAAACTAGGGCAAGGTATTACCCTATGGTATGGGCACATTAATATTTGAAGCTCTGTCAAAAAGGGAACATTTCAGAAGGGCAGTGTTCTAATTGTTACCTGTTGACAAACTGAGATTAATACAAATGTAGCAAAACCACTCCAACTTTAACACTGGGTGAAGTAGGGTGTCTACCTTTTGAGAGGAACTGTTTCAGAGATGCATGAAGCTTTCATAGGCAACAAGCTACTCCTTCAGATACTGTGAAAGGACTGGTAGACAGAAAACCTTTTATGTAGGAAGGAAAAAAATAAGGAGAAGGGACCCTTCTAAATGAATTATGAGTGGGTTGAATAGATCAATTGAGATGAAAATAAGGAAGTTAACAAGAGTTAACAGCTCACCCAGGTCATGGGATAAGAAACCATGGTCCCTTTAAAGACCATGATTAGTATAGTCAAGTCTGGATGATTGTACTCTAGTGCAAGGTGAGAGAGGTCTCCCAATCCAGCCAGAAGACAGAATATCAGGAACTACAGAAACAGCTCTGGAATCCTTAGCGATCATAAACTCCCCAGGCTTCAGGGCTTTATCTCATCCAGAATACGTCACCTCCTCCATGCCCCCTAGCATCATTCTGGTCATTAATCAGTACCTCTGTGGCATGCCCATTGCCCACCACTGTTGGCTGCATTGCGAAACCTCCCTCATCTTGCCTGTAAGGAGCACAAGTGCTGGGGTTGTCCATCACCTCCCCAAGGGCTTGTATTTGCTCCCTCAGTGGGCTTGTGCATCTGCATGGTGAAATGAGTAACCAAAAGCTGGTCTCTAATGAATTCACTGAAAACTCCCACCTGTAAGGAAAATTACTAGCCCAGGGAATTCTTAACAAGAGCCTCTTTCAAAGCACCTTTCCCTTGACATTAATGGACACCAGGTCAAGCCCCTCTTCCCTTTCTATCTATGACACCAACATGAGTGTGAGTGTACCAGAAGTAGTGGAAGTTCTGCCTCTCGCTGGTGCTGTGGCACTGTCAGACTTGAAGGCTGTTGCTTTTCAGCTTGCCTTTCCCTTTGGATTTAGCAATGAACCACATTCCCTCCTGTTTTCTTTGGTATGGGCTATATATCAAATCAGGGTAACATTTTACATTTTTTTAAAAAATAACAACCTTCACGTTATTTTTAGCCGGTTTTATTATACATTTGTTTGTGCTGGGAAATGCCTTGGCACTTCAGTGGGAAAAGCGCTATCGAAATAAAATCTGTATTGTAGTCTTATTCACTCCATTATTTTTCCCCAAAAGAAGTTTTAATGGATTAAAGAGAAATCTGGTTTTGGTTTTAATTTTTTTCCTTTTTTGTTCAGTAAGGAAAGAATTGCAGTTTCCTAAGCCGCTTCCCTAGCTTGCTTGTCCTAGTTTGCTATTTCAATCTGAGATTGATTTGTGCATCGGTGACAGGCCTTGTACTTTTCCTTTCAATTAGCTCCAATTTTAGGGATGCCCTTGGAGTGATCTCCTAGCCAGGGTGATCCTCTGAGCTGCACCCACCCAAAGCCCCAGGTTGTTTATAGCAGTGATGGGAGAGATCAAGCAAGATGTATCAGGGAGAGAGAAAGACAGTGCAGGAACAGAGCGGGGAAAAAACATGGAAAAGGAATGGAAATAAGGACAGCAGGAAAAGATGGAATAGGAAAGAGAGAGTGAGCAAGTGAGCCTTTAATGGAAGGGAATCCAAATGACATAGGGCTATAAAAGGTTCACTTTGAAAATGTTTGTTCCAGACTAATTTAGTGCTGGTGAAAGTCATTTGGCTGAGAGCCACAGAACTGTCTGCTTATCCTCACATCACATTCAGTAGGAGCATTACTGGGGCAAGCTTCCCCCATGCTGCCCCACACAAGTGCCTCCAAACTGACCAGGAGGGACCCTTCTAGAGTTGGGACTCACATCCTGATAATTACAGTTCAGAAGAGTTTTGTTCAATTTGAACAGTCTTTGAGCTTACTTCCAGCTGCTTCTCCTTAGGCAATAGTGATTGTTGACATGTAGGGCATTTCTCGTGGATTAATGACTAACTGGTAGGCCTTGACAGCTGAGACTGTGCCATATGGGTCATTAATTCCAGTTAACTGTCCATTCATCTGCAGAGTGCCAAATGTCCTAATCATAGTTGGAAAATGCAAACAAACATAGGTGCATGGATTATTTTTAAGGGCTATAATGTTTCATCTGTTATCTGCAGACCATTTCTAGATCTTAATGCCTTGTATATTAGCTCTTTAGAACACTTGAGTCATCTCTCACTATTCCACTTAATTTATAAGATTATAAATTCATGGAGATCTACTCCAGCAGGGACCATTGGATTACCTGGCTTGACCTCCTGAGTATCACAAGCCATTTCATTTTCTCCTCTTATCTCTGTATTGAGCCTAGTACTTTGTGTGAGACTCATGTATTTCAGGTCTCAGAAAACTAAACCATTTCTCTGTACAGGCAGGAAAGAGGGAGACAGTCAGGTACCACCAGTGGCCAAGGGCCTGCAATAGCTCAGGACTAAATGACTCGGGCCAGCAAACTGCGCTCCATTCTGGAGAAGGAGTGAAAGACCTCCACCAGATCCCTGCAAATCTGAGCTAAGGGAAGGTCATTTCCCAATACCTGTTCTTGCCATCTGTTTGACCCAGAGCACATGATTAAGATGCAACAGTGAATTATTGAAGAAAGAAGATTTGTTTATACTATTTCAGAGCACTGGTCCACCCTGTTTAGTGTTATGTCTCTGGCTGTAACCATTCCTGAGGATTCAGAGATGGGTAAAAAAAAAAAAAAAAAAAAAAAAGCTGTCATGGTAGTAGCCACATACCATTACGCATCTTCTTTACTGAAAAAAAAAAAAAAAAAAAAAATCAAGCCAAATTAACTGATATCTTCCCACCTTAGAAATGAGGTAGCACCCCTACCTTTTGCTCCCAGTTCTCATAGTGATGTGGGGCAAGAGGCTTGTCTGGTTTGGCATGAGCCTTGGAGGGAGCAGGATCATACCCATTGTCCTCAGAGCTGGCACAAGATCCACCCCTGGAGCTTGGCGAGCCTTACTGCTGCTAGCTGCTCCCCCTTCCACCCCAGAGAGCCATGGCAGCTGGGAGCAGGGGCAGGGGGAGATCTGCACATGCACATGGGGGACCATATGGGAGCACCTTGGCTGCTGGCTGTTCCAGAGCACATCTCAGCAGTCATAACAGGGTGAGTAGCTAGCTTAGTGTTGGACAAGGAGGGCAGGGTAAGCAGGGATGCCTTCTTCCAGCAGAAATCTCTGGGTATGGTTGAGGAGGGAAGGGCCCCAGGGCTAATGCAACTGCCTTTAGTTTTTTGTTTTTTTTTTTTTTTTTTTTTTTTTTTTTTGTGGGGGGGGGGGGGAAGGGGGATGTTCATGGCTATTCGCATTGCATTATAATCAAAGTATTGCAATTCACATCAGATTGTAAGAGAGGCAGGTAGTTTCACCCTTACTTCCTCACATCCCAAGGCAGGGTAGATTTTCTCTGTGCTTCACAACTATCCATCTTGACACCATCCTGCACCCCCCTGCATGCAAGCACACACCACAGAGGCTGTAGAATTTCTCCCAAAAGAAAGCAAGTCTTTAGGAAGACAACTAATCTCCCTTTAGAGAGTCTCTGCTGCTAAGCTCTCTTAATGTTTACTTACCTTCACTCACTACAAGGAAATTTCATCTCATTTCAGGATTGACTTTATCTAACTTTGACTTCCTGCCACTGGATTTTGGCATGGCTTTGTTCACAGAACTGATATGCCCTCCACTATCAGATCTCTTTTCTATGTGTAAGTGCTGATAAGCAGAGATCAAGTCACCCTTCAGGCTTCCCTTGGATATGGTGAAAAGGTTAAACTCCATAAGCCTTCCACCAGAAGGCTTGCTTTCCAACCTCTGGATCATTTCTGTAGCACTCCTTTGACCTCTCTTCCAAGTGTGGACATTGGAAAAGAGACAGCATTTCAGGAGCATTCTTGGCTATGCTGTGTACAGAGGCAAGAACACTCTTACTTTTACTTGATATTTTCATGTTTTGTGCATCCTAGGATCATGTTAGTCCTCCTTGCCACAGGACTGCACTGAGCACTCATTCCGAGTTGGTTTTCTGTACATATCTGTGTTCTTCTCTTTATGAAGAGCTGTATAAGTGTCTCCCAGCCTGTAGGTATAATGTGCATTCTAGGTTATTACCTTGCCTTTGGCTCTATTAAGACATCTTTTCTTGCACTTTGGTCATTTAACCAGGCAATTCAGACTTCTCTTTAGCTGTAGCCTGTCCTTCTCATTATTTTTTGTCCCTTCAGTCTCTGTATTATCTGCAGACATTGCCAGCAAAGGTTTTTAATCATTGTTTAGATCTACAATAGAAGTATATTTTCTCCAGACACATGGTAAACAAACTGTCAACACTGTGGGATACAAAACTCTGCCTTTTTCATAGAGTATTAGACTCAGATATTAAGGCCAAAGGAAACCTATATGATCTAGTTCAATGATTCTCAACCAGAGTGCCACAGCACCCTGGGGTTCCTTGAAATCCTTTCATGGATGCTGTGGGTTGCCACACAATATTACCCCTGTGTGACAGGTACACGATCTGGGCCAACCTAAACGGGGCCCGCACACCTGTTCCTGGGGCAACCGCCCACCTACTCTCCTGCCATGCCTTGTTATTAATTGATTAATTGATGTTAATTAGCAGGAGGCTGCCCTTAGCACCCCCTGGCAGCGGGGCAGTACATCTGCAGCTCCGTTTCCTCCCCTACACCACAGTCCACACCTCGCTGATGGAACAGATGTTATGTCTCAATCTAACTACAAACTGCCCCCCTCCTCTGGGGCTCCTCAGCAACTGCCCCCTCCTCTGGGGCTCCTTGGCAGTGCTGCCCCCTCCCCTGGGGGCTCACCACGCCTGCACTGGGGCTTCTCAGTAACTGTCCCCTTCTCTGGGGCTTTTGCCCCCTCTCAGGGTGCTCCTCAATACTGCTGCCCTCTCTCAGGGCCTTCTCTGTCACACCACCCCCTAGGGGCTCACCATGCCCTCACTGGGGCTTCTTAGTAACACCCCCTTCTCTGGGGCATCTCAACTGCCCCTCTCTGGGGCTGGGGTCTATGCACCCCAAATGCTGCACCCTCACTGGCACTGGGGTCCTCTCACTCTGCTGTGAGTCCCCTATGAGGCCTCCTCCAACCCCTGATAGCCTCTCCCAAACCACCGGTGTAACAAACAGCAACACAAACACAAGCCCTCTAGCTATAACTTAAATGGAAGCCGCTTGGCCATAAGAACATTCAAGCCTACCCGGGAATTACTCCATCCCTCAGCAGTGCCAAATGCTGCTCCTGCAGTCAGACCTCCCCTCTCTTCCAAGACAAAGCTCTTTCCTCTTGGGCTGCTGGCAGGAAACTGCCTCTGGCCCCAGCCCCTGGGGTTTATGAAGGGAGCCAGGCCCTGCCCCTTCTGGTCAGCTGACCTTCTCTGGTTGCCGTGGCAACCCACAGCTGGGCTCCTCTTTCTAGGGCTTCCTCCCTAGCCGTTTTCCCCTCTTTGGGAGCAGGGCACCTCAGTGCTCTGTGACACCCTGTTAGGTCTGATTCACACTATAAGCTCAGAGATTTCAAATACAAATCAATAGTTATGATCTTTCTGAGTTCTTTGCAACAGAAAAATTGCACTATTATTTTTCCATAGTCAAAAAAAGGTGAAAACTAAGAGCTGGCATTTTCTGAGGGGTGCCTTGAGTCTAAAAGTGTTGAGAACCACTGATCTAATTTATCCTCCTTCATAACATAGTCAGTGAATTTAATCTTGCTGTTCCTGTATGAGCCCAGTATCTTACGTTTGACTATAGAACATCTTCCTGAAAGCTGCTGGGGGTGGGGAAAGGGGTGTTGGACTGGATTTCCAGCCATACATTGAAGGATGTTGCATTCTATGTCCAGAATTAGGTAAGCAGAGTGGTCCAGATTTAGGCTTCTTTGTGACTGTCACATAGGTTTGATGTGTGCAAGGGAAAAAGCATTATAGCTAGAAGTACTACATCCTCTAACCCTGGGTATGGACAAACACATATAAATGCTGTAAAGGGGGATGGGAGCTGCTACTTGGGAGCCTGTAGAGGCTATACTGATTTAACTGCCATGTCTGCATGATTTTGTAATGACACAAGGTAGCTAAATTGCCCTAATGTAGACCCTGAATGAGGCAGGGCTAAATTTGGGATGGTTTTGCTGCACTTGTAACCACACAGAATCATGCAACTGTAACAGTTGCATCATAACAGCTTGTATCAGTATCCCTTGAAATCAATCCAGTTGTTGCATCTGTCTGTTACCCGTCCTGGGAGCAAGTCTGAGTAATGGAATAGATTTGAACATAGCAACTAATATGGCCTCTACAGTAGGCTCCTCATGTGGCCAACAACAGTGCAGCTGATGCTAACAGTGTTGGGAAAAAATTTCCTCTAAGGCCTTGGGGCTTTCATGTTCCCCCTCTATGTTGGCACATATGTCTCGGTGTAGGGTACCCAAGAAAGGAAGAAGGACAAAAAGAACCTCTGTGTTAGAGCCAAAGGCAACTCACCGTCCCAATAAGAAATGTACCTGTCAGAATAAGGAAATGAGATACCATGTGATGTGTCAACACTGAAACAGAGCACTGCTATAGGAGCATAAAGTCTGAGTGGAAAATTCTTTTTCCTCCCCAAAAGACTGCAATGATCTCAGATTAAAACTTGCAGAAGGAAATCTCTACCCCTGTACAAACACCTCTTCCCATTTATCTGTCTCCCTCTCTTTGCCATATTTCTTTGTGGGTAGACATGAGCAGTTTATTGTTTGGATTGGCTTGAACAACCAGATTCAAAATCCAAGGAAGTTCAGTGCAGTGACTATCTTTAAATTC